TAATAATAATAATAATAATAATTCGATTCATTTATTGAATAATATTTTACAAGTAAATGGGCTAAATACGGTACCTAAGTAATATAATTCAATTTAATAATTCTAAATAAAATAAATAATACAAAATAATAATAATTCAATTCCTTTGTTGGTAAATATAATGGCGTTTTGTCAATTGAAGAAAGACTCGACAAAAGGTAGAGAAAAATACAACCGCAACGAAAGATAAGAAGGATAGAACAGGAAAGGACAACACGTAATTTCCGTTTCAAAGAAAACTGCATGAGCCTAACCCATTAAAAGGCTTTTCAAGTTTTACTGCTGCTGAAATTACAACCTGCCCTTGTCATGTTAATGATTTTACTAGAAGTGAGCTAGCCATTCTTTCCCAATCGGAAATCTTATTCTGAGAACTCGTTCTCCACACGTGAGTCATTTGACAGGGACTGAGTAAGGTTGATTCGTGGATCCATTCACGCTGCCAGTTGGGAAATTTTTTTGGGGTATTTCCATAGTAATTTATGAGAATTATAGCGAACGTTTCATTCGGGTCTTTAACCCAGAATTTAAAACAGCTGTTACAATCCAAAAACAATTTTTCTTTTGTAAGTCAGAAGTTTTATCACACGAAACTCATAAATAAGAAATCGTTGGGCATTTTGGGGGTAAAATGCCTGCTTATTTTCAATAGCAATGGTTTTCGCAGGTGGTATTACGTAACGTTATTTAATGATCGTGGATGTTTGTCATTTTTGTCAATAAATGCGTAGATAATAGAAATATACAGTTTGTTCTATCTAAAACGGAAGTTGTATCAAAGGAAGTCGAGAATTCTTGGAAAATTGAAAATGTATTAAGCGCTGTATATACTGAATGTTCAGTGTAATATTTTATATTATAAACGGAATCTCGTTTTAACGGAAACTAAAAACGAAAATTTAAAGAAAAATATTGTTTTGTGCTGTGTTTATGATCGACCGTCTATAAAATGTGTAAATAAGAAAGTAAAGAATTTTACATTTTATTTTATTAATTAATATTGCAGTATAAATTACAGATTTGTATTTAAAATGTAAACGTCCTTTGAGATTTCGCTGTAATCAGGTTTTACTGCATAAAATATATATTGTTCTTGGGGGGGTCTTTGAACTACGAAATGTTAGAACACATTCAGTAATTAGACGTAGTATACCTCTTCAGATTAGATATGCTTTGAGTCATCAAACAAGTAACGCGAAGTTCTTTTTTTTCCCAGGACAATTAGTCCTGTACAACTCATACCATTACTCACAGAACGTTACCCTCGGAAGTGGTCTCCGCCACTCCGGGGAACTTGTTCCGTTGACCTTATTAACAAATACGTGATCGCCGGATGTTTTCAGTATGACCAACGTAATATTTGCAGTTTCCTGGCTACATGGAGATGATATTACATTATTCTCGTATTCTAAAAGATTCTTAAAGGCTTTTGTTAGAATTTATGTCTGGATGCTGATTATGCTGACAGTTTTTCACGGTATTCCTCAGACTCTCCATTAATTTGGTACATTAAAATGTGTCAGGGCCGATTTTTAAAGTATCTTACCGTGTTTGTTACACATTAAACTAATGCAGTTGGTAAAACGTAATTAAACATGATAGTAAATTTAATGAATGTTATATTTACGTGCAATAGCGGTTTTGGTACGTGTTCAAGAAACATTCATCAAAGGAATGCAAAAATATTAATATTTTCAACAAATTAAAAACAGGCTGACTTACCTCTCTGTATAACTTTTGTAGATTTTCAAAATGATTTTTTTTTTCTTATCTGTGGAGTGTTAAAATAATTTCTATTGTCACGTTCGTGACAATATACGAAATTAAAACACGTGAGAGAAAAAAAAATTGATTAATCTTTAACTTCAGTGAGAAAATTTTGTAATTTAAACTCGCGATATAATGAACAAGTCGACCTTAATAATTTCCGGAAGCTCCGAGTAGCGTTGAGTTCTGTATTAATCCTCCCAGGACAGTGATGTTTTGCTGACGGCCGCTTAGAAACTACTGGATAATGCACTCGCAGTTTGCCGATGTAATTACGTTAAACAGACGTTTCATTCGTGACTAGAGCTGGTTACAACGTGCTCTAGTCTTTTTCTTGGTCGGAAATGTTTATGGGTTGGACTCGCATGCTAACCTAATCGAGCTGGGATACCCCTCTCCACACCCTTCTCTGCACCGCCACGTCCAGTCCGAGTAAGCAACGCACCGGGCGTAATGCGCCGTGTCATCTGGTAGAAGTTTACAAACGTTTCAGAGTTACTTGCTGCCTCCATCATCAGGGCAATTACTGACGACGAACCAGACCCAGAATAAAGTTAGTAAGCCACTCATCACCCAGATATTGGAGCTAGAAAACACTTCTGAATCTCTTTCTAACACCTGCTACATGTTACCTTGAAATTCAATGTGTATTTATGTATATAAGAATAATTTCTTGCTTTATTCTTGTAGAATTTCTGTAAACAAAAATGTACGAGATTTTTATTCTCGCAGTCGTGAATACGTCGATGTTGGTATTCTTGGTAGGAACGACGTGTGGACTTGTAGGTAGATACCATTGTTTCGGAGAAACATACTGCCTCCATCTTCAGGGTTGATCTGTATTTGGAGAGAATTATATCCAAAAAGGGCTGTTCTGTATATTAACATATCTTTCTCGAATCTAGTCTCCTCGTAATTTTAGTTTTTTTAGATATAATTTTGATTTTTACCAGAATATGCCTTCGTTATTAAAGAGTTATCGGTTGTTGTAGACTCTGACTTGTTCTTTTATTCTTCGTTTAGAAAAAATCGCATATATTTCTACTTGCCTCGCTGAAAACATGGCCTTGAAGCATTCATTTTGTTGTCAAAATCAGTTACCATCATCTGTATCCTAATTCATTAAGATCAGATCTATTTTAGTATTTTATTTCCATCTATTTCTTGTTTACCGATCAGAATTGTGTGTATGTGTGTGTCATCTCTCCCATTCATACTACACGACCCGCTCATCTTTTTAAATTTAATTACCCTAGTAATATTATCGAATACCCTTAAATTATAATTTTACCCTTAGGACCGAGTTTCACACCCATAAAATAGAAAGGGTAAAATTACGATTTGGTGTACGTTAATATTTAAATTCATTACTATGACTTGTTTAACTTCATTTAGGGGCGTGTTTATGTTTCAAATTTCGCCTTGGATGAAGTGACATTGAGGCGCTGAGCGCGTCTGGTGCGGTTTGTACTTTGGCCGGATTTCCCGTTGAATCGTGTTTACATTCTCGTGGTTAGGAGGACCCCGCTAGAGGGACGAAACAAACGAATGTGACGGTCAGAAATGGTAGAAGGGGGGTTGAGGGGGGGGGGCAGCTACTTAGATCAGTGGTTTTTAATCGGTGGCCCGCCTTTTTTTCGCGGTCCTTGTAATATCCTGTTATTTTGTATGATTTAAAACAGTTATATAATATCATGGCCACGGTGGTCTAGCGGTTAGAACGCTGGCCTTATAATCCTGGGGTCTCGGGTTCGATTCCCGGCGGGGCCCGAATTTATAACTTGTGTTGGGCAAGGCCGTGGTCTAGGCAACACGGAGTTTTCCTCCGTGGCATCCCAACAATTACTCCATTCACACACAGAATAAGGCAATGGCAAACCACTTCTGGATCATCTGCCAAGAACGTATATGAACAGGTCCCAGTCCGAGAAAAGGATGGAAGGATCCTGTTCATATGGACCTGTCGTCAGACAGAACACTAAATAAATAATAAAATAATATCATGAGATGGATGATATTGCAAAATTGAGACCAATAACTAGATCGTGTTTTATTGAATACTCGCAGATGTTTATGGAAAGTTTACTCAATCAAAAGGAGTGTTAAATGTCACATAAACAACGCGTGTTGCCGTGAAGAAAAATTAGGTAATATCTGAATCTGCTATTCAGTACAATTTTTAATTAATTGTCGTTGTTTTTCGATTGTCATGTATAAACCTGTGGGCCGCGAGTCCATGTGGCCCTAATTCTGGAAGAGTTTGAACCCTGACTTAAATAAATAAATCACAACATAACTGTTGGCAGCTTGAGTGTTAAATATATATCACGAGAGTTTAAAAGTTATTTTAAGTATTCGTAGAGTGTGTATAAATTCATTTAATTTATTTCTAATGAATTAGTTTTCTTACATGAAGATATTTTTTGAGCTGTCAGGAGAATACAATGCAAAGAGTCGAAACGTTTATAAATTGTAATGCAGGAATGGGTGTGTCTCTTACACTCAGCGAGAATTACCTGCTATTAATCCCCCCCCTCTTGTACCAGCCTGCCTTCGTCTGCACGTAATGGTACCACGAACGAGTTCTGTCTGACATTACTCTAATGGAATGCAGAATTCTTCTATTGACATGCTATAAACGTCAGCATTGTTTTCGCATGCCTCTGAAAATGAACGACTATAACGAATCAGAAGAAATTAAGACGAAATTAAATTCGAGGAATGCTTTTGTCTACCGGAATTTTAACCAAAACCGTGAAAAATAAAAGATGTTCTCGTGGCGCGTGTGTGAATCTTGGCCTTCCACGTTCAAGGTAGAACGCAAAGACTGAAGAAAACCACGTAATGAATACGGCCGGTGAAACGTGATGTCTCCATCTGCAGGGTTTACGTGTCAGTGAAAGTGAGCGCTAGATACGTGGGTAGAAATCGACATCTTGAAATACAGGGTGTGTAAGAGCAGTGTCGGGATCCCTCGCTGTTGCCACGCAGCGATACAGACCGGAGTCATGAGCTGTGACTTTGCCCAGGAACAGAGACGATCTTCCAGGATGATTTTGCAGGACACCGTTGCGTCCATCGGGAACTCTGTACAGTTTCCCGAGGTCAGCGCGAACCCAGACAATGTTCTGTAAATGTAGTTACAAATCACCGAATTAACCAAAGCCCTGACCTGGGTCAACAAAATCCAGTCTCCTTCAACTCCTATCTCCCATAGATCCCGTCTGACATTATCCTCCCATCTACGTCTAGGTCTCTCAAGAGGCCTCTTCCCTTCAGGTTTCCCAACCAGTACCCAGCGCACACCTCTTGTCCCATCCATGCGCGCTACATGCCCAGCCCATCTCATTCTTCTCGACTTAATCACCCTGACAATATTGGGGGAGGAGTACAGATTTCAAGGTCATCATTATGTGGTTTTCTCCAGACCCCACCGTTTTCTCTCCTAGGCCCAAATATCCTCCTCAAAATCTTCAATCTGTGTTCCTCCCTCTGAGTGAGAGACCATGTCAATATTTAGTATATTACTTGAAAAATATTTCGGTTTGTAAAGTTTTGATTTAGCAAAAGGAGTCTAGGCATATCATCATCATCAACAATTCTTACGACGAGGCCTTGTGGCTTGTCCCAATTCAGAATTCAGAAATCATTAATTCATTTAGACATTTAGTACGATTCCTTAGATGAGTGATCAGCCCGTTGCAAGGCCTCTACACAAGACAGCACGACACAGACGAGGACACTATCCCATTATTCAAGTAACCTTACTCTAAGCACATTCAAAATAATTTGTGGGTGTTATAGTTTCTCTGTGTCTTACCAGAGAGTAATTTCATGACGTCTGTCGTCTTTAGAGGTATTTCTAGATGCGATGAGGTAAATTTACAGTTACTCATTGGCACACATTTTCATTGCATGTATGCGGGCGAGGAAGTTGAACATTAGACCAGCATTGTTGCTTTCGTAGTCAGTTAAATACATTTTGTGACAACAATGAATAGTGTGTATATATTTTATGAATTCGAAGTTATTTAATAACGAACAACAATGCATTAAGTGTCAAAGACAAAGGAAAGCTGACAAAGTGACATCACGTTGAAGGTTAACAAGTGTGTTTTTCGTACGAAAATAATGCTTATATATGCATACAAAACACCTTGCTATTGCAAGTCTATTAGCTTGGCTTCTGTACTTTTATACACCATTTATTTATTTTTACGCGGAAGTAAAAGACTGAGGATGATAGTTCAAGAATTCCTGAAGGTGAAGTAATTTCTCTTTCGTCAGGCCAAAATAAAAGAGTGGGAATTACTAATATATTCACGTAGAACGAAATTTAATTACGTCATTAAGTGAGTATCTGCATATCAAGTTTTGGAGGGAATTTATGTACGTCAGGGATTTTACTATGGAAATTGGCTATCCTGATTCACTTTGCATGCTTCAGAAACCAAGCCTAATTAAGTAAGTCGACGTGAAATCGATAGTTTTGTGTTAGACTACTAGTCGATATTGGTCTTCAGGGCTGAATATCGATTCAGTTCGTCCAAAACCCTGCAAGTTAGCACGACTTAATAACCAAGATGACCAACATTGACATCTTAACCGCCGTGAGAATTTCACATTTTAACACTCGTTTCGTTTTATTCTTAACAAGTTATGAAGTCGTGACCCACCGATATGATGTCCCCGCTGTTGGGAAAGCGACATTGAAGCTGTGCGTCGGATTGGGACAGCATCTGGTAACTTCCGTTTCCACGCCTTTCTGCCCATCCACGACTTCTTTCGTACAATCGTCTGAAATAAATTTAGAGACACAATGCTCTGTAGTTTATTATTTCAGGTTAAGACTTAACTATTAAAACTATCCCACCGAGAGGTGATAGTGGATCATGTTTACTTTGTAGATACAAGAATTAAAAATTCGAAGTTCTTCAGAATGTTTCTTAGCCCGCCAAAACAAGTACCGCTCAATTTTTGAGAAAATAAATGACGACAAATGTCCGGTCAATTCTTAGAACTGTTCAACGTGACAGTGTTCGGTGATGATTCGTTTAAATTCAAGGACATTCCATCGTCGTTCGTCTGCACCTTTGTCAGATGCCCTGTTGACGTCAGAGAATGAATTGAACGTATTTAATAAATTATTTAATGCAACAAAACAGTGATGATGATGATGATAATAACAGATTTAATGAGAAAATAAAACAACAGACATCCGATAAATTGTGACCTTGCTGTAGATAAGACGTGTTAAATTGTCAGGATAAAATTACGATATCTCACGATTTATCTTGGAATTTTAAGTTGGTAACTTCACACAGTTCATAACCTGCGAAGACTGTATTGAATTTTCTAACGGTGAAATAGGCTTACATAACCTAACAATAATTACATGTTAATGAGAATGGCTGTTGAGATGATTGTGGATGATAATTTGAATAATGATGATGATGGTAATCATGTGGGCAGCAATGGTATATATTCTTTCGTAGAATAAAGAGTTGTCAATTAAAATTGTGCGCATACTTCCCAGGCCTTTAATACAGTTCTGACTCCTAAAATCCGGGTAGTTTTTGAGCACGTTTTATCTATGTAAATAGACAAGTATTGGTTGAATGACCATTTTTTAAAATCACTATTAGACTGAAGGTAATGTAGAAACAGAACTGATACTGACTGTCGACAGAAAAGTATGGATTCACGATGTATTACAAAGTGATAAAAACTTATCAAATAAGGAAATGTATAACCAATAAGTCGATTATCGCTCATTTTAACATCACTTTATTGCAATACATTAAGTTGTATTATATTGTCTGATTAAGACAAAATATGTAGCAGAGATAAGCGAAGATAATTAATGATTTTAATTTGTGTTTTGAAGTTGTACTGTCTATTTTCTCGTCATTTTTGACGTGTGATTATCTAATTTCTGTATAGTTACGTACTGTTTACAGTTGGTACCTAGACAGATTTGGAATTGATATCATGAATTATACTTGCTTACCTTGTATCATAAGGCCGGAACCGGAAGTTGTTTGTTTTCCGATAAACCACTTCCACGTAATCGTCTGGATAATAACGAATGACCCGTTCGTATGGGGCTGGATATATCCGCTCAACTCGCTCGTAGTAGTTTATAGAAGGCTGTGGACTACACGACACGAGAGACAATGCTATAGCCATCGTTACTGGAAACCATTTTGATATCTTATACGCCATTTTGTTGTTGATACCGTATATCAGCTCTCTTACCCACAAATTGACAATGTAATTCTAAAGATTCTAGAGTTTTCTTCCTAATTTTCAGGCGTTTTCTTCGGTAATTGAATATAAAATATTTTTCGAAATATTTATAACAGCAGGTAACAAAATAAATTTAGGGCAAATGTTTGACAGTTATTGAGTTACGATGGTCACACATCAAAAAGTAACGTTCGTAAATTTCTCAAATTTATGGCAAATCTTAACTTAACTGATCTACCGTGGCGCCTATTTGAGAAAATAAATAGAAGGTTATCTGACAGATGATTTGTTTACTGCGATAGGTGATGAAAACCGGCCTTCGGCAACACAAAGGCTAAACCTTCTCACTTTCCTTCCTTTTATATAGAAAACCAAACTCTGAAGACAAAGATTAATTACATGGACAACCATCTTTCATTCCGACGTTCTTAGAGAAGTCTATTGAAGAATGTCTTAAGTCCATCTCTATAACTTGAATTCCAACAGTTAGGTTACAGGGACTAGTGAATATATGTGGGAAATATTTATTTCTTCTGGTTTACTGTATTTAATAAGATGCACCTTAGATGATGGTTGGTGCTTTGGAGCATATTTTTTAATTTGATTAAAGTTTTTTTTTTTTTATTCAAGTTAGATGCTTTATTCGGCAAATCATGAAATCTATTTGGCATTCGAAAGCATAGATCACATAAGCGTTGGGTCAGGGGCTTATGGAAACAAATTACTTCATGAAATTAAAAAATATTTAATTTAAAAAAAAAATATTTCCAATTAACCATTCATAATAACCGTTCCCATACCTAGGAGGTATCCAGATGAAGGCGTCAAAGCACATGTGACTGCTCTGTATTGTTTTTCTTGTAAGAATCTCTTCTGAAAGTTACATAGACCACTTTTAATTTTTGAACTGGTGGTTGATTTTGTAACGTCATTCTGCAACAATGACCATGGCCGTGAAATCGAGAATTTGAACTCACGAACAAATCCGATTTGTCCTTACGTTTCTGCGTGGAAGGAGAAATCTTTGGTGCATGACTGATACAAAGCTTCTTTTCGACCATGGCTTAAGGAACCTTTTGCTGACGACACTTAAAATAACATGAATAAAAAACCAAGCCTTGAAAGTTAAGTTTGCTTGTGATTAAAACTGAGCTATTAATTTATGGGACTTATACGTCATTTCATTTTACACAGCGCAGATCGATGATTAATTTAATTTTTATATGTAAGGTTATTCCTAAAAGAGAATAAAGGACGTACATTTTTTATTAATAGATATTTTTCTGAGTAAGTTATATTACCCCTCGTAGGTTGTACATTTTTCCTGGTGTGGACCTTATTGCCTGTTCGTGTCCTAGGAGTCGTTTATTTAACATGATTTTTTTTATAAAAAACTAACCTCAACATTTTACGCGTTACGTGGAGAGAATATGGTATTCAGAAGATGAGAAATACACTACATTTAGGTTGGAGTAACCATTACATTTTCAACTATCATTACGATTATGTGAACATACGAGTCTTATCGATTTCCCAGGGCATGAACACGGAACTATCGACTATGATCGAGGCATCTCGATATTCTTAATTTTCCCCCATCTTTTCGCATTCGTGTTCCAACATTACTTCAGCAATATACCAGTACATTTTGTAATGTCGTTTTTCCTCACATTGTTACAGGCCTTGAGGGATGTTGTGATTCGTTCTAGAAGCATTTTGTATTATCTCAAACATCCTTGAATGTGTGAGCGAGTTGGTAAGTTTTTGTGTATCGTATTATATAAATTTGATATTTCTTTACATACTGGTACTACTTATGTTTGTCAAAATCACATTATTTCTGAGCACAGGATAATCTGTTAGGATATCCAGTGGTTTTAATGTTTTAATTTTATTTTATACGTAAACATTTTGTGAAGAATAATTTCATTCTTAGGAATATAATTTTTGTCTTTACAATATAATTGTTATGTTGGTACTATACGTTCTATGCAATTTCGACATATATGCACGTCATTTCAAAAAATGGTTACATATTTCATTACTTCCTGAATACTTAGATTTACCATTAGGTTTTTAGGATCAGTTTTTATACCAGCTTCCTGTATTATATATTCGTTTGTGAGTTGTTCAATGCCACTGTCAGTAGTTCACACTATATATTGTCAAATGATAGAATGATTTAAGGTACTATATTGGTATTTGTCTGGAGGGACTCGCAAAAGAACCTTTTAGGGTAGCACGTCTATCAGCCTAGATTTGAACCCGAGCCTTCCTGAATACAAAGCAGGAGTGTGCTAACCAATCATCTGTAACATTCTATGTAGTTAAAATAATTTGCTTGCTGTATGTTAACTCAAAAGAGGCTGTCATAAATATCCACATACACTCCTCTAATGGCGTGACCCATACTCGTGAATGTTTTGGGTGTCACAGACTTGGCAGATAATTTCAAATTTAACACAAATGGGGGATAATAATTAATAAGCATAACTGCGGAATATAGGGTTGAGGGTATTGTTTTAATATTTAAGAAAATTTAGCATATTAATACCTGGAGTGACTTTCTGAACATGGAATCTAGCTTGATATGACTTATAATTGTAAATCAGGAAATGAAAAGGTACAATATTTTATTTAATATTTTTCAAGAAGTACATACGTAAATAAATCACCGTTTTGTTATCAGTATCATTTTTATTAACTATAACAAATCGTGCAAATTTAACAACAGTTTAATTACAATTAATTTCAACAAATAAATTACATAATTATAATCAGATTTTTAACACACTATAAATTCATCAATGTAAAAAGCAAAACTGTGGTTCACCTATAATAAAAATTACAAAAATTAAAACTGTTACTCACACTCTGTTCCTGTGCGTATATTTCAAAAAATACAACCATTGTATCACAGTTATATTGCAGTTAAACTGCCAGATCATTTATTTTCCCAATTGAACTGGGTACCTGAAGCTATTCTGTATGTTAATTAGAAAAAAATTAATTTACAAATAATATTTTCTATTTCGGTCAAAATACAACATTAATCTAGTTAAAGCTTTGTGTCAACACTTATTAATGCAACGAAACACGAGTAATCATGAACGTTCATATTCCTCCTGAAAGAAGTCTGTTTAAAAATGTTGCATATTTGAATTAAGTTTCTACTTCAAACAGAAAATTTACTTTCTGGTCAAAAAATCTTCTATACACTATACCTCCTTGCTGTTTAATGTCAGTGTTTTTCTTACAGCGTTACTGTATCAGGAAAAATAAATTCTTCAAACTTTCCTTGGTTTTACTTTTAATTTCATATGGTTGGCAAGCATAAAAAACAGCTGCTAAGTGGCGGTTCTCGTCATGCTTTAGATGTGAGTTTCTGATTTTACTCGAAAGTGAAATGTAAGTTTCAAAAATAAAAAAAAAATACATTCTTCAACTTATTGTATTTCAAGGCTGTTGAAGAACTTCATAAATAATATTATGGTGTAGTGTGTACATGAATAACACTCCATTTACTTTCGGTTCGCAAGGTAAAAGTTTCAAAAAGATAATTTTAAGTTGGAATCAAATACTTAAAGAAAAAAATTCTTTGAACAAGAATGTTACAGCGCAGAAATATAAATCTAGCCAAGACGACAGCAAAAATTCAAATTTTATACATAAATTGAGCAATAAACTTCTCCCAAATCATTGTTTTGTGTTCTAGACACTGAAACTGGGAAAAATTTTAATAGAAAATATATTGCTTTCACTGCCCAAAAAGATCAATTGGTAATCTTTTAATCCTTTGCATTTTAGTGTCCATAGCTAGACAGGTCTAACTGCTGAATGTGGTTCAGAAACGGATAGCAAAGAGTAACGTCGTCAAATACGTGGCCACCGGAAAGGCAACAAGGAGAGATCTATTAGACTTTCTCTATCAAAACACACCTTTTTTATTTTCTGGCAAGAGAGATATTAGAATTTGGGTGAAACTTCTCATCCATTAATACAACAGAAAAATTTATATGCTGTAATTTTAATTTCCTCAAAAAATTTCTTCTCCTCTGTCTGCACTCTGGAAATACATATGCATTCCAAATAAGAAAAAGGACAGCTTTGTCTATGCGATAAACAGATTTTCTTTGCAGACAGTATAACAAGGGAAAGAATACCATTTACACGCATGTAAATTTTAAAGAAACTAATTTGAGAACAATATCTGCCCTGTTCATGTATCTAACACCTCAAGAACTACAAAAAAGATTTTAGTTAAATTTTATATTGGGTAGTCTTACTAAAATTAGTTAGTTGGAATCGGATGACAATAATGGGTGCACCGCATGACGATGTAAACACATTTACACGTGTGGAAGTCACTGAGTGGGGAATCCCCAGGCTATCTTGGTTACTTTGGTCAGGTGAAAAATCCCTGCAAAGCCGTACATTCATGCAGAAGAATTCTCCATGATTACATCACAGTCACTCACACAAAGGTCACTGACCCCAGACAAGTCTGATGTTACTGACATAATTTGTAAAGGTCAAAGGTACAATTCTGTCGACCAAGCTCAAACTGTTACGCTCTTCATATATGTCATATTTGTTCAACAGTGACAGTAGAAAGATCATTTTCTCTGGTAGATGAAAAAAAATATTAAATTCACGGTATTGCCTTACAATTCAGTCATTATCATTTCAACAATTCTCATTTCTCAATGACGCATTCATTTTTATTCTGGCCAACTGTCAGAAAAATGACTGCTTTGAAAACTGCAGATATGCCTTTTAACTGTATTAAAATGTTGAGGAATTATTGTTAGTTACTTATAGATATATGACAGCTATTCAGTCATAGACACAGAGAATATAATAAAAAATAATATACAACAGTCTGTAATTAAGGCATTATTATTATTTAAAACAGCTCACGTCTATATAAATTCCATAATCAGTTTTGCATTCTCATTGTCTAGCTTTAGAAGCCTGCACAACTTAACAGCTACAGAAAGTAAAATGATACACATGGAAAATGCTTTAAAACTAGAGACCGCCGTATCAAAAGCAAATTCCTTACCGATGTGCGCGATGTTCTTTAACCACAGAAGACATAAACATGTCAATATGTTCATAGGCACACGGTACCAATTTGAAATACTTGCTCGATACTGTTCTGGAATTATCTGACTTCTAAGATACCCTACTGCAGGGAAATATATCCCCACAGCAATTTCATATACAAGAAATGCGATGAAAGCAACTAACGTGTATTCTCCAGTATCCTGTGGATACAGAGTAACCATTTTCATTGCTCCAGCCAATAGAACGAGCGCAACAAGAGCAATGATAAATGACATATGTAGCAGATGTACTGCTGTGTACTTTCGTGCTATCAGGAATGAATATATGGATGAACCAATCATGATACAAAGCATGAAACATGAGAAGATGATCCCCAGTGGAGGTCGTAATGGCTCAAGGACTGGTGTCCAAAGGAATACAAAAGTGTACATCACGGATTCAAACAATGATTGAACGAGTCCTAAACATAGCAGCGATTTATTCTGAGTTCTGAAAATAGCTTTAAGAGCTGCACAACTGTAATTAACGGTACAGGTGGGTTCGATATGATTTTCCTCCCACAAGAACATTGTTAAAAATGCTGATACCAAGAGAAAGGGTACTGCAATCATGAACGGAGAGACAGGACCCCATTCGGCCCATTCCGCAGCAATGTTTGACACGACACCGGCACAAATTGCAAGAACACCATTATAGAACGTTGCTTTAGCCAACGTAATGTTGATCCACTGAGGTGGAAAGTGAAATTTCTGACTGTGCTGATGAACGTACCACGCTTCAAATGTTGAAAAGAGGATGGACGTGCAGATTCCACCTAAAATACGTCCTACGATCAAAATGGAATACAGTGGAGAGGCTTTAGTGATGCACGAGATGGCATAAAGGAAACTATATGTAATGCATAATCTCTTGCGACCAAACTTGTCTGCTAGGATCCCAACCTGCAAGGCAACATGCATTTATCAGAAATTGACAACGTCCATATTTATGTAGGACTTGAGGTTCTCATGGTGGTAAGTGTAAATAATGGCTGTCTCCTGAGTTGTAGCGCCTTGTAGTCCAGTATAAGTTTGCCAGCATTTCAGAGGTACTTGCCTCAATCATCAGGATGTTGACCTGATGGTGAAGGCAGGAAGGACCTCTGAAATACTCGTAAACTTCTACCAGATTACACAGCATTACAACCCAGAAGACAGCCATCTTCATCCATATTCATATTGAAAATCATGGTTTTCTATAATTACATTTTATTTGATATTAATGTAAATATAAGGGGAATCCTGCCTACATGTTAAGAAACAGATATAATTACAGTTCAATAAACAATGATTAAGTGTGTACTAATCACCTGATATTGATCAACAATGATATAAGAATAAAATAGTTTATATTGTAAAATAAAATATTTGTGTGATGGTTAAAATAAATACAAATTGCTCTATAACAGTAGATTTATGACTTACCCCTGTACCACAGACCATGCTGGAGAAGAACCCAGTGACATATAACAGCGCTATCTGAGGTTCAGTATAACCGTAGTTGCTGTAAACCTGGTATGTATATGGCCCTTGCAACCAATCAGAGAAAGCTGCTGGGAAGTAGACGATAAAAAACTGCTGCTGCAATTTATGGAATGACTCACTTTTATTAGGTTCCAGCACTGCTTCTGCCTTTGATGCTAACATGTGGGTAATGTACGTTATTGGAAACAAAATTCCCAATGCAATCAGTATCAACATTGTCATTATCTTTTATGCTATATCCATGCAGTGCTGAAAAAACATAAAAACATGTCATTAATCTTCATGGTTCTGTGCTCAAAAAAGATAAATTATTATTAAATCATGGGCACATTCCAAAGATATGATGCACTACTCCAGAAACAATTCCTGACTCACTTGTTAAATGTTGGGAAAAATACATTGACAGGCCACCTTAATCCACTGTAATTCATAACCTATTAAGACGCTTGACAAGTAACTGAAGCAATGAAAAGTGGGGGAATGTCAAACTTGGAAATATTTCCAATGACACATCAGTCACTGGTAGATTAATTTAACTATGCCTATTAGAAATATGACGATAACACAAGCTTCGCACGCTCTTAATGTACTACGTACCAATTATATCACCTTAAAATTGACGAATATAGATTTCCGATAAAGAAATACGACTCTGTTGATAACACGAACATAACCTAATAGTTAAGATACACATTGCCAGTGGCAGTGCCTGTGGCCAGACATTATCTGGAATTATTACGTACTTTACTTCATTTTCTTTCTTGTTTCGAAAATTCTTCTAAATTAGAATGAATAATAAGCGCAGTCGAATTTAAACTTCGTTATACACAACATAGGGACATTTTGTAGCTACTGGTGGCACTCCTACTATCTTTATCTACTGTTCCTTACTGACTATTTTTGCTTGTGCTACGTTGGTGCTAACTTTCAGTTTGAAAGTATACAAGTATCAAGAAGCACAATAGTCTACTTTATTATTTCCCATCGAAGGGCTTGTTACCTCATATTATATCGTCGGAGTTCAGTAGTGCTAAATTAGTCACTATTTATGTGACATTGAAGGTATATTTGTCATTTGGAAAATGTAGAAAGCGACAAGTATGAGTCTTCTGGGTAAAGCAGACGCAAATAATTGCCAAACGAATTACCAGGCTGGAGCAATAGACTAACGTGAAACATGGTGAAGTTTATTAATTTAGTAACCACGATGCTAACAACAGCCGAAACGTGTGAAAAGATATAACATTTAAATCAACGTTGGAGCAGTTGCTTACAAGAAAGTAAATAGAAATATGTTTGCGTTCAGTAGTAATGAAAGTGCGGTTTTAGAGCGAAAAGCAGACATTACAGAACGAACTATTCAAACTAATGTAAGAGACATTAAATATTATTATGAATTGGACAGATGTACGGAATGGGCAAAGAAGAATGGCTTAAGTAAGGTATTGTATCTGTTTCCAGTGTTAATTTCTTCAGGTGTATTGTGTTATTGGTATCTTTGATAAAATGAAAATACGAAATGGGACACAGGCATTGGGAGATGAAAATCTGAAGAGAAGAAACCACTTTGGAGACCTAGACCTAGATGGGAGGTTTTTTAAAACGTATGGTATAGAAACAGATTGAGAGGGCATGGACTGAATTCAAGGACTTCTGGTCGCTAATATCATTTAATCACTTCCTTTCCTGAGTGGTAACTAAAACTTTTTTCATTGCGTTTTCTCCAAATCACATGCCCAATGCATTCTCATTATATCCCACCCTGCTAAACGTTTAAAATTAAAACTCTGTCACAGTCCATGTATGAAAGGTTGATGTCTCATGTTACTCTTCTGTTATGCAGATTTGTTTGCAGTTCCCAGATGCTCTGTTGCTTGATTCTGTAGGGGTAGCTCTTTGCCTGGGGAAAATACTAGGCAGCAAACCTTTTATTCTTGGTGATACATCTTATGGGAGGTAAGTGCTGGAGGAATTATGGTTGTGTTTTTAAATTCTAACTTTGTGCTTGGAACATTATAAACTTATATTATGAAGGTATTCATCCCAACCATATCTGTGGTTATGTCACAGTAGAAAGTTAAAATCCAGAAAAATTAAGGTAGAGGTGATTGTACATTTAAGGTACAGTTCTTCTTCACTGTCATGTCAAGAATGATTTAAGAATTATCTGCAAAGTGAGTTTTCTGTGAAAGGCTGCCGAAGTATAAGCTTTGCTCTGACAATGCATGAAGATGTATCTGTGTGTCTTAATGATTGAGGTAAGTTCTGGCTCTTGAAGAAAAGTTTAGGGACTACAGCAGTTGTAATGTTAGGATATGTTTTTTAATGCATATAAGCTGTATTAATCTATACTTCTCTGAACAACATAACCCCAGATATTCTGTAATAATGTTTTCACAGAAGAAATACGTTGATAGTACATATGTTTTAACATGGAAAGTGGCCATGTGGAGTGTGTACTTTTGTGTTCAAATAAAGATGTTGTAACTGACATAGATTGGGAATTTATGTCAACTTTGGATCTACTGAAATGTTGTCTCTTTTAGGCAGCTGTTTCCGATAATTTTTTTACCAATTTACGAATCATAATCTTAATCGCTTTGTTATTAGTATAGCAATGGTAAAAATCAGATATTGAAGGTGGCTGTCTTCTGTGTTGTTGCGCCATGTAGTCTGGTAGAAGTTTACTGACACTGGTAAACGTCTACCAGACTACAAGGTGCAATAACCTAGAAAACATCCGTTTTTGTACTTGCGACTGTGTGAACCTCAAATCCTCCCACAAATCTTACTCAGATATGGTTTGTGACTCTTAAATGCATATGTTGTTCATGAGTTGTACCTGTCTCGGTGTAATTTTAGCTGTTGCGTTGATGAAGTGGCTGCTGAACATGTGAATGCTGATGGTATCATCCATTTTGGCCACGCTTGTCTCACTCCTACAAATGACCGTCTGCCCAAGTTGTATGTATTTGAGAAACTGCCAGTAGACTGTCATGAGTTTGTGTGCTGCTTCAGAAATGTGTTGAAGTGCAAGACTGCTAAAATCCTTCTCTTATATGATGTCTGCTATCAACATGCCATTGGTGAGTGAGATTTTCTGCTCTTGAACTTAACGCAGTTAATGATATGATGTCTGGGAAAAGATTTTTATTTGTTGTGCTTCATAGTTGTCTGCAAACTCACCAGAGACTTCATTTTATTTGTAATTTTATGCATTATACATTTATGTATAATTTGTTATATGGCCCACCGACAGTCACCAACTTTATGTGAAATTGTAGTTATGTTGAATATATTTCTTATATGAAACCAGTAATTTTGCATATAGGTATGTGACACATAAGTCTTGAAAAATTATTGTTGCCAAACCAACATCATTTTGCCAAATGCCATCAATTTTACATGCTCTGCTAACACACCATTGTACTAGCGTATGTAGTACATTCACACATCTTGTTCTTGGACAGTCTTGTACCGAAAATGTAACATTATTAATTTCTGTCGTATTGCGATATTCGTTTCTTACCAGACTCCATCGTTGAGAACATTGCACCAGATTTTCCTAATATGGTTGTCTCGGAACTGGCCACTTCTGTCAGAAATCTGGGGGCGGATGAAGAAACAAAACTTGGAAGAAATTTCAAATTGTTGAATGGGTCAAAATTAGAAGAATATTCCATTGTGTTTATAGGACAAGATGGACCTATACTGTCCAACATAGCTCTGACATTGCATGGTATGTCGCAACATTTGCATTTCTTCTTCGAAGATAACGTTTTAATTTTGGATGCGTATTAAACTGACTGATGAGACTGTACTCTGTATTTATCAGCAACAAATGCTGGTTTTTAAATTAAAATGTAACTGTTTTGCCTCAATAATACAATCCCATGATCAGTTTATGATAACTCATTTAAATGTAGGACATAATATGAAAATTTTGTGTGTTTAGAACTTTTCGGCAGGGTACAGTGATCCATTTCCTGAGTTATTTGTGATGTTTAATCCAAGAAACATTTTGAGTAGACATTTGTAATGAAATTTTGCTTATCTCGAAACATTCTTTGTTTGGTTTTGAAAAGTCTGTTGTTTTGCAAACAGTCTTCTTATGCACGAACTTCCTAAATTCATAATATTTGTTCCGATGTCCTGTGAGTAAAACACAGTTAACTTTTACAGGCAGAGATTTGTATTGGTACGATCCGTCAGGAACGAAACAGCTTGAACGTTACAGTGTTCAAAACAACAAGTTCCTAATGAAACGAATGCACCTCATCGAACGAGTCAAAGATGCTAAAACGTTGGGTATTGTGGTTGGGACGTTGGGTGTTTCAAACTATCTTGGCGCTGTGGACAGACTCAAAGAGCTTGCAAAGCAACGAGGAAAGAAGATATACATAATTGCTGTTGGGAAGCCCAATGTTACAAAATTGGCAAATTTTCCCGAGGTAATATTTCTCACGAACAATATGAAGGGAATTTATTGGTTTGACTAAGCACAATGTCATTATGAGTTATAACATAAAAAGTTGTTGTTTTACAGGGAGTTACTGAATTTATTTTTGTTTTGTCTTAGATCGATGCTTTCGTGTTGATAGCGTGTCCAGAGAACTCATTGCTGAACTCAAAAGAGTTTTACCGCCCAATTGTAACTCCTTATGAAGTGGAGTTGGCATGCAATTCAAATAGGGAATGGAGTCAGAACTATGTACTTGAGTTCCAGCATCTGTTACCAGGTTGGTAAACATTATTTGTTTAGTCATATCTTAATAGTATGAAACTTCATCCTTAGATTCGGAGAGTAACGATAGTAACGGGAACATCTCGGTATAATGTAGATTTGTGGACTGAAAAATTGTATTCGTGGCGCTGACATTTCATTATAATGAAAGGTAATGAAACAAATTAATAACTTAAAATTTATTGTATAAAGTGAAGCTTTCGTGGCGACTGAAGTTGATGAAAGACTCCCGCGTTACAAGCCGCATCCGGTGGCTGAATGGTGAATAAACCATGTCTTCTGTCAGCGTTTCGAGAACAGTCTCTGCTCTCATCCTCAGGGCTGCTGGATAACAAATCGGACTCTTTGTTGCGTGCTCGCTGATGGGGAAATTTATTGTTTTAATAAGGGACACTGCGTTTTTTGTCAAATACGTGACGCATCGCATGTTCTTAAGAACATTATTAGTAAGCCTAAAAGAATCATTTGTCCTATTATTGCAGTGTAAAGTAGAATGATCTGTCTGACATCTAGATGTTTGTGTAAATTATTATTGACCACGTGTCAAGGTTTACGCATGGTCCAGATGTCTGTGTGCCATAGCAGTAAACCATTTAATCACAAAGTTAATGTCTGTTTGGCAGCCCTGAAGTGGAGAGGTTTAAATTCCCTTTTATTTGTTCTTTGCACATGCACACATACATGAAGTAAGTAAGTGAAATTTGGTATTTATTGTAAAATACTGTGATATTTATCTCATGCGTGGTTCCATATTCTGTCTCTCACTATCCACACACGTTTTACTTCTGTCTATATATTTCCATTATTCTCTTTTCCGATGGACAGTGAATGAAATGAGCATGGTATGAGAAGTATGGTAATTTTTTTTATGTTTTTAGGTGGAAATCATTACCAGGAACTTGGAAATACTCATGATATCACAGCAGAAGACACTGCAGATATATCTCTGGTTACGGGCCAAGTCCGTGTCATGCCAGAACGAGAGTCTTCCGGTGACGTTGTTCCCACATCGGGTGTTGTCGCTTTGAAAGATGATTTAGTGGTATCAACAAATATGGCAACAGGCTCAGAGTTCCTCAGTAAGCGGAGTTGGCGAGGGTTAGAACAGAACTTGGGCGAGGAGGATGCTGTTCTGGCCAGTAAGGGTCGGAGTGGCGTTCCTCAGAACTATGATACAGATCTTGATACCATATCTTAACCAAGAACTAAAAAGTTCCTGGACATTTATGTATATAAAGGTTCTTTGAGAAATAAATGCACAGATCCCATAATTTTATTAAGGTGTTTAGACTGGTTTGGAAAACTTTGTGGGCATCCTTCATTCTCATTCAGCTGTTTTGGGTGGATGGCTGACGAGAACTGAATTGTTGTCTAAACCAATTTTTTTTTCTGAGCTGTTTGCATTTCTTTTCTGTTTCTTACTTTTGATTTGTCCTACAGTTCTTATTTTCCTGTTTGAATTTTGGATGAGGATTAATGAATTTTGTTCTTGATCTTGGGCTTAGACTGAGACAAGTAGAAACAGCTCACTGTATGTATCTTTTATTTGTCATGTATCTACTTTTGCAGGAAAATCCAATATGTGGTAGAGAATTGTGTGTATTTTGTAGTATGAAATATGTATGTATGTAGTATAAAGTTTACAGCTTAAAACTACCCAATGTACACTTTTTACACCTTAGAACTATGCAGTGTGCTCATATGACTAACAGCTAGCATCCTAGGGACTGTATGATGACTGATCCCCTGACCCCACCCACTGTTTCCTATTGGCCCGCTGCCCAACAGGAACACGTGCCCAGAGAGCTAACTGGGAATTAATGATGTGCAGACACGACTTCACAGGGACACCATGGTGAGAATCACTCATCACATCAAACACTGATGATGGAAGCACTGAATATTAAATATTCAAGCATAGCTCATTGCTACGTAAGACATCATTTCGCCTTGACCTCGTGAAGCTTAAAATCATTTTTCGTAAAACTATAGCCTGAGTTACAAAAACGCAGGTTATGTGTAGCATTTGAAGTCGCAGCTTGGATCTTGCTGACGTGTTTAGTGGGCGGATAGTGTGCAGTTTGTTCTGCTAAGCGGTCATAGATGGCTACAGTGTAGCTTTTTCAGAGTAGCCGGTTACCGTAATATTATTCAGAGTCGCTGTTAGATGGTAGCAATGTCAAAATCCCGTCTCCTGACTCTCTTCCTTTGTACATGTTTAACGTGAAATCGATTCTATCTGGGTAACTCCATCAATGAAAATCAAGATTATCTTAGCCTTCCACACGGCGTTGTGTTCCGTGACTGGTAGTCTGCTGTGGAATGGCCGTCACGTTGGTTGCGTGAAGAGACTGCGCGCGAATTGAGTGAAGGTAATTCGAGGGACAGCCGCTTCACAGACGTAGTATATTCGTAAGTAATCTCTTCATCTGCTTTATTATTAGTGCCTTGAGAAAGTGTTTCTTAAACTGAACCGTGTGTTCTAATTTCATGGAGAGACAATTGGCCCTGTCATACGATGAATAATGATAACGTGGTTATTAATTGTATCAAGATTAAGAACTGGTTATCGCGTTCTTTTATTTTATCTGGTGTTATAATTAAAGCAGCTGTCTTTCACATAGCAAAAAATACCACCTGTACTTTTCATTAAGGCAGAATAATTAATTGGAAATGTGATTTGCATTGTTACTTTCGTGAGTCGGTAGCATATTTACTGCGGCCTTAATTAAACTGTGATTTTCTTGAATTTTCTATAAAGTTAGGAGTAACGTATCCGATTATGTGATGGTCCCATTCTTCCCAATTATACTCATTATTGTCAGCAGCAGGTTTGGTGAGTTGGTAAGGGTACTGCCCATCCTAAAATACGAGCCCTAAATAGTTGAATTAAGCTTGTTCCTAGGAAAACCACTGGTAATTTGTCTCCCTGTTGAGATTTTAAAGTGGAACGTACCGGTCAACGCGACATTCGGTGTTTATTTTTGCAGTTTTATCCGTAATTTGGCAAGCGAAGTGATCGGGGAAGGGGGGAAACTTTTAAGTGTGTTGAGTAGTTCCTAATCCCTCGACATTAAAACAGATTTCGTTACGTCCAACGAAGACATTAAAAACACGGAATATAATACTAATTCTAGAACATTGTATGTTCTTTAAAGAAAGCTATAATAACATTTTAATCCGTGATATCAGACTATTTCCAACTACGAAAGTTACTTATAAAACATTTTGTAACCTGTGATATATAGTCGAGCACAATTTCATATGACCATCTTTGGTTGTTAAGGGTTACCATCGTTAATCCGAAAGTTGTGCCAACCCTGGTTAGGTTTAGTTTGTGCTAATGCCGATCCAAACTGAAGTTCATGTGGTTGCCATGTTGGTGTCAATAGATGATTGGAAATTAAAAGCGCGTGGCGCAGAGATGGCGTAATGTACGCGGCACGTTTAATTAACAATCGTCTACTGGCGTCCGTCCGAAGTTCTTGGGCTGGAAATGGAAAATCTGTCACATTAGAGAAACAAATCTCGCGACAAGTGTTTCTTGGGTCATTAAACCAGCACAGAAGATTGAGCTGTTTGTTTAATAACGTTGTTCTTTGTATTTTTTTTAAAGGTCATTGTCTTTCACCAATTCTAAACGTACGAGTAAATGATATTCTCTCCTTTAATAAACTAACACTTCTTTATAAAAAGAGGTATTAACTATTTTACGTAGATAATTAGTTATAAGTTAAATTTATTGTAATACTAATAGTCCTTTAGACACAACGTTGGGGGGCCAGTACACGGTTCTTCTTGTATTTAGTTAAATTTCAGCATATCGGAAAATAATGTCAGATAAAAATTGTAGATTATAATCATGTATATCTTTTTATACTATATATGGCGGGATGGTATAACTTTAATTTTCCCTTTGTGCCATCGTAAATGGTATTTATTCAGAAATGGCATATGACCATAGTAGGCATCTATGGTCAAATATAAATTTTATTAAATATGCAAAAATTACTATAGAGTTACATATTTTTTTAAATTTCTGTCTAACACGACTTTTACCTTGAAAACTTACATTTTACTGTCGGGTTTTAAAGTCAGTAGCAGGCATGACACTTAACGCGACATAAAAATAACAATTTTGTAGAATATTTTTGAGTGAAGCAATTAAGTGAGCTTGTATCTAGCAACAATACGAAAACATTTTCGGGCGCTCGAAGAACTGTCTTAGCTCAATTGCTTATGCTGGAATTATATATCTTCTTATTTGCCTTATACGCACACGAATACCAACTGTTCATGATGGAATGACAAATTATTTTGCCTTCAAAAACATTATGATAAATAGATCATTGAGTTGTCGTCGGTAATAAAGCGATATAATATTAAAATAACTCAGAAAATATCATAATTACGTAAAATATTAAACTGAAAACTATAATAATTCAATTCAATTAATTTATTTAATAATAATAATAATAATAATGACAATGGTAACTGTACTTAAATATATACACTAAATAATTCACATAGGCCTATTCAGGTAAATGACACAAGTCCACTTTAACAGTAAATACAGAAATACGATAATGTAATTAACGTTTGCCTTCGGCAGATAACTGCATTTGTAACATATAACGTAGTTAGGTGCAGTGAATCCATATTATACACTAAGCTTTCTGTATTTTTCCACATCAGTGAGTTAAACAGTGCCAGGCTTTTGTGTGGGCACATTTAATTACAAATAAACAAGATGTTTATACGAGTCTTTAAATTAAACTCGGTCTGCTCTCTGTCATAAAACACGTTTCTCTGGAAATATAATTTTAATTTATAGTTTTCTTAATTACATGTTTAATAAGATGAGAAACGGACATCCCGCAATTATATTATCGGAAATCGTTAAGTGAATTTCCTTTGGATTGTGTTTATGGTTTTCTGCCCCGAGACTTGGCCACGAGATGGAAGAGAGGTTGGATATTTTATTTATATTAACTTTAATTAGTGTTCTGTCTGACGACAGGTCCATATGAACAGGATCCTTCAATCCTTTTCTCGGACTGGGACCTGTTCATATACGTTCTTGGCAGATGATCCAGAAGTGGTTTGCCATTGCCTTCTTCTGTGTGTGAATGGAGTAATTGTTGGAATGCCACGGAGGAAAACTCCGTGTTGCCTAGACCACGGCCTTGCCCAACACAAGTTATAAATTCGGGCACCGCCGGGAATCGAACCCGAGACCCACGACTTGAATTTATTTTTCCTACCGATTAAATATGAATAGGACGTTTATTTAGTCTGTGAAAGTAATGTAAAGCTACATAAACATTTTGGATAAAAAGAATGTGTTGTCACCCCTCCATATTCTCAAATTCACCTTTTTCTGTATAGATCCCTGCATTACGTTATCACTAATTGTCTTTGAAAAATTTCCCGTGCTGTATCTTCCGGAGATCCTCAGCGTCTGACTTACCGCTCCTTTAAGGTCGACCGAGCTTGTAGATGTCTGTTCTACCGGCAACATTCGCAAAGTTTAACTCTTTTTTTTTTGTATTTTCCGTTCATCTATGCCTCTCGTACGGAAGTCAAAGCAATGTCGAATATTAATGAAAGCGCTGTGAAAAGAGAAAAAATACATACTTCTGATACATTTAATCGGAGGAAGAAGTGAGGTTATGGGATGGACCATTTAAACGACATTTACGGATAGCTTCACTGACACTTCTGATGTAAACACGCTTAAGATTAGTGTAATAAAGCGCATTATATGTCTTCTTGTTTTACTTGTCTGTCTGCCTGTCTTTAATTAAGCGTAAAGTTGATAATCCATTCTCAACAAAACTTCGAAAAGTGTTTCTTACTGGTAAAATATTAATGCCGTGCCGGTCTCAACATTCCTGCGAGTCCCCTGTGCAGCAACTTCTCTGGCTCCAATGTGAAGCATGTTGTCTAAAGGAAATATTGCAGGCGTTTCAGTTTTTTTCTAGACTTTATCCATTGTTTTGTTTAAAATTTCAAAATAATACCACGACGTTTCGGGAACTGGTTCTGTTCCTGTCTTCAGGTGAAAATACCTATTCTACTGGGTCCGGTGGAAGGGGATAATTCCAGTTCCTGGTAGAGGCGGAACATTTAGGTGTTTGGCGGTGAATCGTGAACTTCCAGCCGGGAGCCGCCAAGTGACAGTTGCGTTCAACTTTGTCAGTGAACGCATCATATTTTTCCTGGCTACTTTGCTCGGAAGCACTTCGAATTTATTGTTACAGACTTAAAAATATTTTAAAGTCAGTCTAAATTTACAACATTTTGAAAATATACACAACGTTTACGACTCTGTTTTTGAGAGATGTCCGTTGTAACGGGGCCGAATTCGTGGCACCATAAAAAAAAAGGATGCCAGATACATAGGTAACTCAGTGGCAGTATTTAATATGGAAATCAATTCAGATAATTAGTAATCGCAATTCTGGTTGAAACATTGATAATTGTTTCATTTCCGCTAGATCGTCTCTCTCTGTCTCCTGCTATTATTTTGTTTTGAAGTAACAGCAGTTAGACCACATATGTTTTTATCGACTTGTTATTTTATCGACTTTGATCCTAACTCGCACGAGATGGATCGATTGAAGGTGTTTGACAAGTTACTTTTATCTCGCCGCTTTCGTTGTCGTAATTGGGTTACATATGTCTACCTATCGATAAGTAGTTGTGCCGTATCGATTGTTTGGTGTTGGATAGGTCGAGGCCAGGGGTGCCAACATTTCTTCTGCTGGACTGATATCATTCTATTATGCTGGTTACAAGTGAGGTTAGGAGAGAAGAAAATAATGCAATGGAATAAATAATCATAAACAAATAAGAAAACAGAATAATTAAAGAATTGAAAGTCTGTATGTGATAGAACATGTCAAAAATAAACAAAGCATGGACTTAGGTTTTATATAGTTCCCTTTATTACAGAAAAGTAAAATTTAATTTGAAACATACGCAGAGTTATAACTACAAATATGTATGGGATACTTTCAGTTAATGGTTTGCGTACTTGCTTCATATTTGAAAGGTCCTAGGTCGATCCCGATCGTTGTCATTCACAATAAAGGAAAAAAGTGTCAGGATAATGACCAAAAGTCACCTGAAGATGGCAGTAGAACCAGCTATCGAAACGTCATATATATCAAACACATATCGGGCAATGGACAATTTCTAACAGTGTACCTGTAAGACATTTTCTTTAGTTTAACGTCTGTAGTTTTCGATATGTGGAGTCTTTTGCATGCCTAATGTATGTAAACAGCCCGTGACCTCCTCTACCCGATTCATTACTTTGAATAAATTGACAACTAAAGAGAAGGAGAGTAAAGGAAACAAATGACGGAAAAGAACGTAGTTCAAACGGAACAAGATGAAGCACACAC